GGGGGGGGGGGGGGCGCAAGCGTTGGTCAGGTCGGGCACAAAGCGTATGCCTCGAGCCAGCACTTGGTCCCTCTGCCCGGTCGCTGCTAAGCAACCGCAATTTAATCTTCAAATTAAGCGAGAGGTTAATTTGAAAGCGAAAGATGGGAATGGGAATGGGAATGGGATGGGGATGGGGATGGATTTCCACACCGATAGCCAGACAGTTGCCAGCGACAGTTGCAGTTGTCTGAGTGGAGTCTTGGCTGCATTTATCCCTCCACTCAGTTGCAATTTACATAATTATGGTAGGACGGGAAGTGAAACCATCTTCAGCAAGCAATTCAAATCATAATTATTATCTCTTCAATTTCAGTTTCCAGCTGTGTTATTTTAATATTTTATTACTACGATTATTATTACTAATATGGAAATGGAAAAAATATGTGTGTGGATCCAACACTTACCGCCCGAGCATCGCAACGGAGGCCGTGGCTGAGTAGGTATAATCCCAGGAGCGGCATCACCCAGCATCGGGGGCCAAACTGTTGCGGCCGTCTCGACATTCTAGTCAGCGCTTGGAGGACCTCTCTGCTCTGTCGAGTGTTTACTTGTGGATTGCTCCTCAAATGTTTCCCAACTCTTATCGAGTGCTCTTTAAATTGTCACTATAAAAAAACAAGAGGCAATTCTTCATTAACGCAGCGCCACGAGAAACACGTAACAAATAGATTCCTATTTTATTTTGTGTGTTATTTATTTTTAGACTTTTTGCCTGTCGCTCCTCAGCCCACTGGGGCTGGTGCTGCTCGTGGGAGGGAGGAAGGACATGTTCCGGCGCCTCTGCGACTTGTTTACTTTCACTCGCAAGCGGAATCAGAATCAGAATCGGAATCGGACGCACACACACAGCAGACACGGACATGGAAACAGCGACGGCAACACCAGCCCAACAGAGAGCGAGGACCCAAGAGCAGGCAAGGAGCAGCAAGGAGAGCACGAAAAACGAACCGAACGCGCACGCGGCACGAATTGTTCTGACGCCTCGACGGCGAGGCGGCTGCTTTTCAATGTCCGTTGACTCGCCTGGCGGCGAACCAAGCCGAAGTGCGGCGAAATGGCGCAGGAGCTTTGGGCGGCGAAGAGCGAGACAGAGACAGAGAGAGAGAGATTCAAGCCTGAAGTAAATGTTAAGCTTTGCTTCCTCCTCCTCGTTCGGGCATTTGCCAAAAAAAAACATGCTCAAGGACACTTGGCCCAAAACTCGCACTTCCCCCCCAACCATGGCACAGCATTCTCCAGTCGTAATGCTTTCATTGTGCAGCACAGCATTTCTTTTTTTGTTTGCCTGATTTGCTTGGACATTTTCGGTTAGTTCTTTCCTCCTCCTCCACCTCCTTCTGTCCTGTCCTGTCCACACCCACTGCCACCCGCTCGCTCTCTCCCTCTCTCAGTATAATTAGAAATGTGCTCGAGGTGGACAATGGCCGCCACTTACGCTTCACGCGCTCGATTTCACTTCTATAAGTTTCAGTGGCATAATCCCTGGCCAAGCCCATTTCCATCCTCCTTCCTCCCATGCTTGTGCCCTGTCCATGTCGCTTCGTAGTTTGCGGATTACACTTGTGCTGCCGCACCCTCCGCTCTCGCGACGAACTACTCCTCCCCGCATACACTGCTATCCGATGGATCGCATGCGGGGGGGCCATATCCTGCCTCATCGAACGACATGCAAATGGAGGCTAGGGTATTCCAGAGTCGTTTTTTGTATGCTTCCTGTTCCGCCTGTTGTTTATTTACCCTGTCGTGGCACGGAAGACAGGACGATGTCCTGCCTTTGTGCTTGCCTCGTCTCTTAAGCCTCTTTAATACCTTTCCTAATGGCTCCGATGCAGCAGCAGCAGCAGCAGCAGCAGTAGCAGTGGGAGCCAATCCTCCATTAGCGATACTTCGACGAACGACTTAATGGCGCACGTAGCACGTCCAAATGGAAAGCTCCTCCTCTGTTAGGCCCCCCCTGGACACACGTCCTTTATCCGGTAAGTAGCTCTGAAGTCTAGAGACACTAAGCAACACGAGAGACGATTACTTTATTCATAGATATGATATTAAAATATTGCGTACAAATATAATCAACTCAAATCACAATTATTCCCACTGTGCGCGCTGATTGTACATGACCTACACAACAACAATAATTCACGTGTTGCTGGCGTTCTTGGCGTCCACAGTCCACACACAGTCCACAGAGAGAGAGAGTGAGAGAGAGAGAGGAGCATTGTGAGAGCAGAGATCAGTTCCGTTAAAACGTTCCACGTTCCCCGCTCGCGCTCTTCCAACAAAACAAAAAGAAGAGCGAACGCACCCACCACCTTTAGTACGACAAACTGTGCTTTCACGTGTTTATTCGCTTGCCGCTACCTCCGCCAGCTGCTTATCGGAAAAAAGAAACAAATAATGAGTGTACCGGACGATATAGAAGTGCGTGTTGTGGGATCTGGCGATGGGCAGGCAATGATGCAGTTCCTCCTGGAGCACTACTACCGCGAGGAGCCGCTGACCGTAGGCTGCAGTCCCCCGGAGCCGGATGAGGCCGACAAGGAATTTCTGCTCTCCAACATACCGCACGGCGCCTGCCTGATCGCCCTACAGGGCGGCACTCGCATTGTTGGCGCCCTCGTGGCCGGTCCCAAGGATGCCCACGAGGCGGACCACCTCACCGAGGAACTGGTCAAGCATGCCGGCACCAAGTGGGGCCGCATCCTCTCCCTGCTCACGCGGATCGAGCGTCAGACGAACGTTTGCCAGCGCTACGGCATACCCTCGGCCATGCATGTCCATGCCGTGGGCGTAGACCCCACGCTGCGACGCCGAGGCGTGGCCGCTCTCCTCGTGAAGGCCGTGGAAGAACTCGCCCGTTCCCAGGGTCATCGCCTGGTGGTCAGCGACTGCTCAAGCAGCTACTCCGCCCGCCTGATGGAGCGTCTCGGCTACGAGCTGATCCACACAATCCGCTACGACGAATTTCTGGACGAGTCCGGCCAGCAGATTATACGCCCCCCAGCCCCCCACGATTGTATCAAAACCTTTGTGACGTTGCTGTAGAACCAGCAGAACCAGAACCAGGGTACAAGCAGAATGGATGCCAAGAATTGATTCGTTTACAACTGCAATACAATAAATATGAGCATTTAAATATATTTATTTATAGCCAAACAATTATGCGACCATTTCCAGGGGTATTCGCAGTGTCGACACACTCGGCCAAAGAACTTTTCGTTTCTTTTATTTTTCGTTTGTTTTGCTTTTGTGGCTTGGCACTTGGCAACCCAATTATGGAACTTATCGCAGCTCTTGGACTCCACACTCAAAATCTACGTTGAAGAGCGCGCGCTCTCTCTCTCTCTCTCTGTCGCATATGCATGTGTATTGTATTAAGAGCGGAGGGTAACGGATTGCCTACACTGAGTGCAAATAGTTTTCGGTTTGCCATTGAACACTCAATATTTCGTAGATTATTAACAACAACTGGAGTAACTGTCTAATTGGGTATGCAATGGGAGCGACTGCAGATTGTAGAAGGCTTTGGGGCTGCTTCGCATGTAAGAGGATAAACATGCAATGCATTGTGCTTCGGATGAGTGGCAGGGCAAGCCCTGGCAAGGCCCATGCCTCCACGCCAAAATGGAAAATGTTCATTGTTCCGATTCGCATTGGCATGGCAACACCTGGCGCAGCATGCAAGCAGCTCGTTGCAGCTGCCTGTCAATAGAACAATGAGCACAAGGACCCCCCAGCCACTCGGCTCAGTGGCAATTAGGCGAATAAATCACCAATTAGCAAAGCAGCCAAAGGAGGTGCCACCTAGCAGAGGGATTATAGGTGAAAGTCCCACAATTCAACATTTGATAATGAATCTTGCTCGATGCTGTTGAATGCCACTCGATATTATGTATTAAGTGGCAGTCCTTCGAGCGTGACTCCAGCGGGGGGATGCTTCAGCTTCTGCCTTCAAATCTCTTCCGCATCCAAGCTCCCTCGCTCCCTCGCTCTCTCGCTCCCACCCTCCCGCATATTCGCATTTTCCAGCTGGACAAAGCTGCAGCTGAGGAGAGGAGCGGACCCGTTCGACGCGCTAATTAGACGCCGCTCCAGCTGCTGTCGATAATGAAGCCGCTTCTGATTTCATTCCCTGATTATGCGAATGCCGGGCCACGCCTACGACCACGCCCTACAGCTGATGGCACGTTCAACGTCCACCTTGCACCCATGCCCCATGCCACACTGCTGTCCATATGCCTGGGCACGCCCCACGGCTGTTTAAGCTGTGAAGCACGTTCGCGTCAGTCTCTGACGTGGCATGCATTCGCAGCCAGTCAGCCAGTCAGCCGGGTGGCTGGGCCTAGGCGCCACAAAACAAGTAACAAAAGCAACCCCTACCCGCTACCCGCTACCCGCTACCCGCCGCCCTCTTGCCAGCCAGCTTGGGGCAGTGAAACGTTCTGATTGCGGCTCCCAAAGTGGGCAGCAAACTGTCCTTCGGCTCTGATTTGGGGCTGCAATCGAGTGACGACAGCGACAGCCACATCCTGGTTTATGCACACATAAATAAGATATGCTGAGGCTCTTTTTCTTCGGCTTCGGCTGGGACCTCTCCCACATCAAGCTGCTCCTTGGGGCACCTGGGCAGCAGAGGGTGCGGATATGGAGGCTCCTTCATGCCTTCATGCTCCTTAGTCAAATGTGACCCCTGACCCCCTTGCCGTCGCCTTCCTTGGCTGCCCTTGGCTACGCACGATTTCAATTCAATTGCACTTGACGCTTGTGCTCGGAGCTCGAAGCTCGCTGGAGGACATCGGGAAGCAAGGAGGCAGCAGGTGGCAGGTGGCAGGTGGCTCTTACTGCTATTATTCAATTAGTTCGCCAGCTGCTGCTGGACTCTCTCTCTCTCTCTCTGTCTCTCTGTCTCTCTGTCTCTAAATAATAAATGTAATCCAATAGCTGCAGCCGTACAGCAAAAGGATTAGGATTAGAAGCGATTGCGCCCCCTGCTTGTGCTGACCACCAAAAAGCGAAATGATAATCCTGTGATGTTTCGGTATTCGATTACAGAAACCGGAACCAGATGGAGTCAGCAGCAGCAGCAGGTGGAACCCAAGCTGCAGATGTGGAGCAGGGGAAGGGGTGCATGTGCCAGTGCACACAGAAATCTAATTTAAAATGTGCACACACACACACACACACACACACATGTGGAGAGTGAGAGAGAGCGACAGCTGGCAAGAAGAACCAAGCAGAACATGGGGAACATGGGAAGGTGGAACACGCTCTCTCTCTCTCTCTCTCCAGCTGCTGCCACGGAAAGTGAACACTCACTCGGGTAAAAAGGAAAGCCAAAGGAAGGCCAAAGCGACGCAGCCAAGCGAATGGCAAACAAGCGACAAAACAAAATCAAACCTTGCCCCTTTGCCACGTGCTCTGGCAGAGGATGTGTGGAGAGCGAGAGCGAGAGCGAAAGCATCCTTTGCGCCCAAGCACTGCGATTTAATCTTATAATGATGCTGGTCTCCGCCCGGCCCGAGTTGCAGGCGCCCTTCAACCCGGAAGGAGTCGCATGGGCACAGAGACTGGGACCAGGACCAGGACCAGGACAATATTTACACGTTTCGCAGTTCATCGTTTGATAGCTGCCATGGAACATGGAGCAGCAAGACACACAGCAGAGCAGACACCACAACGGTCGGACCTCGATTACAGCAACAGCAGCATGTACACGGCCCGGTTTGAACAAGCAGACTCGAATGGAGTGGGATGGATGGTGGGGTGGGGTGTTGTGGTATGACAACTGGCTAAATCCTCTGCCAGCATTCGTCGCCAATCAGCAGTTGAGAACTTACAGATATTCGCTTTCAAATGCACTACCTGGAGTGGGAGAGAGAGAGGAGAGGATGAGGATGAGGAGCCACGAGATGTGGAAATCGCAAAAGATTCAAACTATTTTTGAGCAGCAGGCACAGCAGCGTAGAGGAGTGGAGTGGAGACACAAGACACACACAGAGCAGCGGAGACTCTCCACACAATGGGAGAGACTGGTCGCCAGCTGCACTTTGATTTAATCTTACACTGCGGACAAAGCTTCGAGCTGTGCTTCGAACTCAAACAAAATCGAGTTTGAAGCGAACAGCGTCCATGCATGCATAGCCATAGGTACAACACATACTTACATATGTATATATGTTTATGCACAGTTTTTACACAAACAATTTAAAATATTTGCATTCATTTTCGTGCTGTTTTCGTGCTCTTGTTTGTTTTCAGTGTAAAGAACAAATTTCCTTCTGTCTTCCATCCGAGCCCCGTTCCAAGTTTCTTGGATAAACATTAAAATTGTTGAAATGTTTGTAGCTTTGAGTCACGTGCCCGCCCGCTCAGCAACATACAAAAGCAGCAACGGGAAAACGCACATATGTATGTGCATATGTATGTACATATATGCCAGGTAAGCTTACAAGAGAGAGAGAGAGAGCAGAATGAAGATCACGAGAGCGAGCGTCAGGCAAAGACAGCAGAAACTGTTAGAATGTAAACCAAAACTGTTATAACTTTACTAAATAAATGCCCAAAATGCAATTAGAACTTTTATGTATTGGCTGAACGGTTAGACCTGAGCATATGTACGTGCATATTTATAAATTGTGTGAAAACTAATAATTTGTTGAGAATCTTGTCCAGATTTGTGGATTCCTATTGGTCATCCGCTTGCCTCTTCTTTCCAGTTGCTCCCCCCGCCTCCTGCTGCTGCTCGCTTTGGCCAGATACTCCCAGCTCATCGTTATCGGGATCAGAGTGTGTGGGCCAGGAGCTGGCGCTCAAGTTCAGGTCGGAGGAGCCCACGGACACGCGATAGGAGCGCTCGGCGGCCACCAGGATGCCCCGCACGGAGGTGGACTTCACCAGCGTGGTGTTCGGCTTGATGCAGTACTTGCCCTGCCGCTCGCCCCGCTCGCTGGCGACTGTGTCCGTGCGCAGGTAGCTGGCGCCCGCCGGGGTGATCACACACAGATCGATGTTCGAGCCGGAGCCCAGGTCATTGAGGACGCCCGCCGTGATGGCCTCGCGCACCAGCTGCTTGCCCTGCTCCTGGTCGAGATCCGGCTTCCAGCCATGCTCCAGCACGGACATGGCAGCCAGTGTGCCCGATCCCATGGCCGCGTACGGCAGCTTATCGTTGGAGCCGCACGGATAGATGCAGTAGATCTGTGGCCCCCTCCTGTCCACGCCGCCCATGACCAGTGCGGCCCCGATATGCCCCTGGTAGCGGAAGAGGGTGCGGCGCAGCATTATGCTGGCACAGACCACCGGCACCTGCCGGCCCGTATTCAGCTCGTGCAGATCCAACTCCGATGAGGTCAACATGGTCATCATTTCGGTGTCGGCAGCAGTGCCAGCGCCACAGCAGCTAATGGAAATGGAAATGGAAAAGGGGATTGGAGTGGGAAGGGGAATGGGAATGGAAATGGGAATGGGTATGGGCGGCACTCACTAGATGTGCTGCTGCAAATGGTGAATTTTGGAGCAGTTCTTGTCGGACACAATGGGACCCTCGGTGGCGCGCGTGTCGGCGCCCAGGATAACGCCGTCTAGATAGGTGATGCCCACAATGGAGGTGCCAGTGCGCACAGCCTTCGGCGGCTGATAGCCCTCAGCCAAAAGCTTTGCATTGCTGTGTGGAAAATTTTGTACTCTCTCGCTCGTGCCTCTCTGTTGCCTCCCTTCCTTCGCTTACCGTCGGCAGTTGATGAAGCTAAAACCGCTACGTGGCCCAAGATCGCGAGCTTTGCGCTGACCCTGGATCGATGTCTGAGCTAGAGGCAGCATTGCGAAAACTAAAATAAATGTAAATTAAATTTTGTGACTTTACTTGTGACTTGATTGGTAATTTGATTCTAAATGAGGTATTTCAGAGGTTCCTTTGATTTAACAATAAAGTAAATAACAGTTACAGTTACCTTACGCTACTGCAGGTACTCTCTGCAGTACTCTCTCTCTCTCTCTGCAGTCACTTTCCCCCTCTCTCTCTCTCTCTCTCTCTCTCTCTTTAGCTGCAGTCACAAGCGTCGCGACGCTTACGCACTGATTTCTTGTGTTCTCTGGCTTACATAAACGGAGAGTGGAGCAGTGGAGAGTGTAGAAGTGGAGAGTGGAGAAACGGATCGTCG